GAAAGAAAGAAAGAAAGAAAGAAAGAAAGAAAGAAAGAAAGAAAGAAAGAAAGAAAGAAAGAAAGAAAGAAAGAAAGAAAGAAAAGACGAACCATTGCCTCCATCAGCAGGCCTAGGCAGAGGCATTCAAGGGGTCTTGGGATTCTCCAGGTATTAGACAGGCCTGGGTGGGAAGCTCAGGAGATTCCTAGGATCTCTGTTTCTTCTTCTTAGTGGCTGTAAAGGAACAGTGTGGGCAACAAATGGGGTATGATAAGTCTAGAATTGAGATAACCTGCCCACTCCTAGCCAGGCCACATATGCCCCACCAGGTTCCCACTGTGCCCTACACCAAGACCTTGACCCCCAAGCTGACTGCCAAAGGACAGCTTTTCCAAGGGCCACCAAGCATCTTCCTGTCAAGAGACTTGCTCCTTTGCATCCTGGGCTCACACATGTGCCTGTGACTACAGATTACATCCTGTGTAGGGTGTACCAGGATAGAGATGCTAGCCTGAGTTGGGGTTGGAGGTAGGGGGCATGCCCAGGAGTCCTGGATTCTCTGCCTGGAAGTGACTATATCATTGTTTGTCTCTTTTTCTCCTCAGGAGTGTGGCACCCAAGCCCACCACAGGGCTCTGCAACCCCCTGTTCTACACGGGGGACAGCAGCCTGCCAGATAAGAGCAGGCCTCCAGGCCCTCCAGAGGTGGTTTCAACCAACCAGCCCCTGAGTCCCACAATGACACCAAAGAGGCCACCCCCTGCAGTAAGTGCTGTCCTCTGACAGGTTCATGGGGCTGAAATGAGGGGAACTATAGCACGAATTCTAATTGGTCTTAATAATAAAAACCTGGAGCCAGATATTGGGGTAAATGCTGAAAGATCAGAAAGACAAAGACACAAGCCACAGCTACCTCTCACCTTTCCAACTCTTAGCTGAAATGGGGCAAGCTCCCACATCTGTGAATCCTCAGATTGAATGGTTGAGGTCCTGTTTCCACCTACCTTATATTACTGTCTCCACCTCCCTAATGCTGGGATTAAAGGTGTGAGCCGCCGCCGCCGCCGCCGCCGCCGCCGCCGCCGC